GACCATGTACTCATAGAACGTGCTTAAGTAAGTGCAAGGGAATTTAAATTATCCCAGGCATATTATCAAACCATAGTGCATTGAAATTGGAAGTCAATGGCAAAAGAAACCACAAAAACTGCATTAACACATGGAAATTAAATAATACCCTCCTGAACAACCAATTGGTCACAAGTAAAATTAAAGAAGAAATTAGGTAGTTTTTACAATCAAACAATAATGTCAATACAACATACCAGAACTTATAGGATACAACAACAAAAGCAGTCCTATGAGGGAAATAATAGTGAATTGCCATATGAGAAAAACAAAATGAGCACAAATAACCTAATATTGAGCCTCAAACTACTAGAAAAAGAGCAAGTTAAACCCAAAGCTCATATAAGGAAGGAAATTATAAAGATCAGAGCAGAAATTAATGCAGTTGAGACTAAGAAAATAATACAAAGAATCAATAAATCGAATAATTGGTTCTTTGAAAGATTAAATAAAATAGACAAACCCTTAGCCAACCTTATCAAACAAAGTAAAGACTCAAATCCATGCAATTACGAATGAAAAGGTTGAAATTACAACAGATCCTGAAGAAATCCAGATCATCAATACCTAATTCAAGAACTTGTACTCTAAGAAAATGGAAAACATAGAAGAAATGGACATATTCCTAGATACACATGTATTTCCAAAGCTGAATCCAGAAGATATACAAATTCTAAGCCAGGGATTTAGCTCAGTGGTTCCGCCTGCCTCACAAGCACAAGGTCCCGAGTTCCATCCCCAGTACCAAAAAAAAAGAAGATAAAAAATTCTAAATAACTCAATATCAGTCAATGAAACTGAAGATGTAATTAAAAACCTACCAACAAAGAAAGTCTCAGGTCTTGATGGATTCACTGCTGAATTCTAAAAGAAATTTAGAGAAGATCTAATGCCACTAATCCTCAAACTCTTTTTTTTTGATATCAGGGATCAAACTCGGGTCCTTGTACTTGCGAGGCAGGCAACAGAACCACTGAGCTAAATCCCTGGCCCGATCACATAATTTTTGTCCTTGACTCTGTTAATATGATGTTTATTGATTTGCATATGTTGAACCATCCCTGGATCCTTGGGATGAATCCTACTTGGTCATGTGTATAATCTTCTTTTTTTTTTTGGTACCAGGGATCGAACTCGGGTCCTTGCGCTTGCACAGCAGGCAGCCAAACCACTAAGCTAAATCCCCAGCTCCTCAAACTCTTTAATAAAATAGAAGCAATACTCCCAAAGTCATTCCTGGAAACAGGCATTAACCTGATATCAAAACCACAGAAGGATCCAACTAAAAAAGAGAACGGCAGCCCAATCTCCCTAATGAATATAGATGCAAAAATCCTGAAAAACCCTGCCAAACAATAAAATCGTCAAGAAGATTGGGCTGGGGATTTAGCTCAGTGGTTCTGCCACCTGCCTTGCAAGTTCAAGGACCAGAGTTCGATCCCTGGTACCCAAAACAAAACAAAACAAAAAAAACTCAAAAAGTTTTTAGGGGCCAGGGATTTAACTCAGTAGTTTCGCCACCTGCTGCACAAGCGCAAGGACCCAAGTTCGATCCCTGGTACCAAAAAA